AGAAAAATAAAGCAAATTGTTGTTCAAATGTAGCAAGAATTGTTTCTGGAATAGATTTATATTGAAACAAATTAAAAAGTGATTAGATGAAAAATTGAAAATACAAAAAAAAATCTTTTTGCTAACTGCCTACTAAAAAATTACAACAAATTCGAATAAAAATTATAGAGGAAAAATTAGAATCATTTTTTTTTTCTTTTCTGTTTATTGTTCTGCAAACTTGTATAGCAAATTAGTTAGTGGCTTGTAGTTTCATTGTTGGACAAACTGTTTCAAATGTATGCCGCAACTCAGGTGACCAGCAGTTAGTGATAGAACTAAATATCTGTCAAATATAAGCGATAAAAAAACAGACGAAAGAATGTTAAGGTAAGAATTTGAAAAAAAAAAATAATTTTTGGCAGGAAAAAAAACCTCACTCTTTTTTAATCAAAGATAAAGGAATTTATGACAGCAGTTAACTGTCACTTGATTTTTCACTTTTTTCTTTCCACAGAAATTCACATAATAAACATTAAGATTTTGCGAAACAAATAGAATTTCCATATTATCTTCAGGAATTATTTTGTGAATATAGTTTGACAATTCTCACCAATCTCTAAACAGATACACATTAAACTACAATTTTACTATGTTAATTGTGCTAGAAGAAAAATATTTTTTTTTGCCAATCACTAAATATCAATAATTTTCACTATTTTTTTCTCTTGATACCAATAACATTAATCTGATTCTGGTTAAGAGGCATTCTGTTCCTTTTCATTTCCACTTGTTGCCCTCATTGTTGGTGTTGGTGTTGTTGCTGTTTTTGTTTTAAAAATTAGAAGCAAAAGCAGCAACAATAAAAAAAGAAAGAAGCTGTTTATTGGTACCTTAGGAGAAAGAAAGGAAAAAATTTTTTTTTTCTTTGGAAAGATTGGAAAGCTTAACGATCCAATTAAATTTTCAAAACCAATGGAATTTTATTTGAAAAGGTAACAGCAGGATTAGCAAATTACCAGCAAAGTCGCTTGAATCCTTTCAATATCCTTTGGATTCAGTGATGAGCGCCTCGAATTACAAACAGATAACAACGATCCGCCGATCGACGATGAACGTCGACTTCGTTGCATCTATATTAGTATTTGTTGCCAGTGATGGTTATGGTTATGATATGCTGTTGATGAGGACGATGATGACAGTATGATAGTGTTGATGATGATGATGACGATGATGATAATGACGATAGCGATGATGGTGCTGGTGATGTTGATGATGGCGTTCAACTTATGAACGGTAGGAAAGCAGCTGGATATTAGTTATTGGTTGGTTGTAGAGATGATGCCTTCTTGTTCCCAACTTTCTGGCCGATGTTTACGGGGGCCCTGTTTTAGTTTTATTACACACACACACACAAACACACATTGCACACCCTGGACACAAAACGTTCTTCACCGATATTTCTTGTCTGTGTGCACTTCAATCACTCAAATCTCCCCTCCGAAAAGCTAGAGCACCATCTTCACTCCCAAAAATATAAAATGCTTATCTTCACCAAATGTTTCATCCCATTTTTTCTTCTTTTGCTTTACAAAATTAATTTTATTATTTTGAATATACAAGCATAAATAAACAAATAATTGTGTAATATAAATTGATAATTTTTTAGCTCTTGATGTTTCTAATAAGCTGTCATATAGTTCGACTAGACCAATTAACTAAGCACAAAAATTTTATGCTTGATCCTCTTCAGCAACTGCTGTCTTTACAGTTAACTTGTAAAAAAAAA